TATGGTACAGAGAATTAGCTACAGTAGATATCTGTAACAAAGTTATTCAATCAAGAATTCTAACGTTGGAAGTCAAGGTTTCAAACTTAATAGGTAATTTTAAGAACTGAAAAATCTTCGGAACAGCCTGAAAAGTATCTAATGCTTCCCCCCAAAAAGTGTCTGTCTCCTTATCCTAATTCCTGCCACTGTCACCACAGCAGAGCGCTCATTCAGCATACTAAACTGGATTTTTAAAAAAGTATCTAAGATCTATTATTTTACGGGGATGGTGGCTACATTTGGTAAACGCAGTAGTGAGTCTAATCTTGCGATTGATTTTGCTGATGTAATGCGCAAATTTGTCAGGGGTATGTATAAGAAAGCACCTTTGAATACCGTTACATCTCAACTCGAATAACTGTTAATAGACTTTAATCAATCTATTATTAAATTCATTGTTATGTATTTGTTTCATTATAGTTTGTATACTAGTGTTTACTTTTCTTTGTATCCTCTTTTCCAGAAGGACCCTTCCTTTTTCTAATATATATTTGCAAGTATGTTAGAATCTAATGAATAATTATGAAATCATCGATGAATGTGACCATATTAAGATAAGGGGGGACTCATTTTAGTCGAGTTCCAGTACTTAATTATTATTCTCTAGTCGGTCCTATGTGTAAGTGTGCACAGATTCAGCTGAATTGGAAAACAGAAAAGGGAATCAAATTTGATATAAGTGATGTGACCACACATTATCTAACAAACGGAAGAAGCTATCTAAAAAGGGGGGGGGGCCCTTAAGTATAAATAATAACCATTCCTGCGAAAACGCTGTGGATGACATGTACATAACTTGAAGCTTATTTTCTAATACGTAGCTAATGCGATAAATCCAACAATTCCCTACAAGCAAATATTACACTGTAGCTCTAGATTCAGTGGTACACAGTAGTACCAGAATCAACACAATATAGCAGCCCTAGAGTAAGGAGCAGAACTAGAATTAGTGACGAATGAGAGAGTAAGTATCATTGGCATTAAAATGGGTGAAAAAAAATTGCTAATCTAGATCCGTAAAATATAGAATGCAATTGAACGAGAATCATAAACACAACTTAAGACAAGACTCAGTGAAGCAGAGCAGCAATCGAATCAGTAGCTTACAATGTCCCTATATTCAGGATCACATAGTAGCGCTGGAATAGGTTAATTTAAGTTCTCAAAACTAAAACCTTTTTTTATTAATGAACTATTCATTGTTTTTGTTTGTTTGTATTTGAAATTCTAATTTTTATACGTAATTTTTTGTTTCGCTGATATTTTTTTCTTTCAAGTGCATAACATTTCACGTTTTCGTTTATTGATAATTTATCATAATACGTTGTCTGTCTATCACCGCTAGATTCGTCTGCCCCGCCATTATTTCATAATTTATGGAAGAATCACAATTTTTGGATTGTTTCTGTTTATATGCTAGATTCTTTTTAACATGAAGACGGCATTATTAAAATGGTGGACAGGAACTCCTTAACATCTGTTTAAAGTTTGTTCATTGGCATATCAAGAATAAGAAAGGATTATAATATACTATATACACTAAACAATCCTTAATAAATAACTGTTAATGTATAAAAATTAACATCGATTGGTAAAATTAATATTGATTAATTTTAAAAATAAATTGTAGATCCACTGTAATACGAAATGTTTCAAAAAGATAAACCAAAGGCTTAAAGCAATATCCAATATTTAGGTATAGTAAAGAACAGAGATATATATTATGTGGTTGTTGTTGTTTTATTTTAGTTTCAGGGTAACAATATACACGACTTGCTGAGTCCATTATATGTGACGTCATGCACTTTCTGGGAACCATTTTAACTGCTGGTCTATTCATGGTTGGTAAGTTTTAGTGCAGATTGATTGTTTAAATTACTTATCATTATCATCATCATCATGTCCCTTAGTCCTTGAAGAGTTGGGGCGCCACAGATGACATGTGAACTATCCTCCTCCATTCGTCTCTGTCTTCTGCATTACGCACTGAATCGCCCAGTGTTAGTCCTGTCCACTCTTTGATGTTATCCTCCCATCTTTTTCTTTGTCTTCCTCTTCTTCTCAGCCCTCTTGTTGTGCCCTGCAATATTTCCTTGGCAAGCCCTTGTTTCCTTGTTACGTGGCCATACCATTGTGGTTTGCGTTTTTTCACAGTCACCAGTAGGTCATCGTACTCCCCAATTGCCTGGCGAACCCTTTCTTTCACTGTATCATTTTAGAAATGGTCCCTATAGCAGATGCCAAAAATGCTTCTGAAGAATCTCATCTCCATCGCCCTTATTTTCTTTTGAAGATCGGCTGTAAATGTCCAGGATTCGCAGCATACAGGAAAATGGAGGGGACTAATGAGCTCATCAGCCTGATTTTGGTGCAGGGGGCTATATTTTGTTATCCCATATTTTCTTGAGCCTCTTTAGTGCTGTTGTAGTCTGCGCAATCCTGAACATCAGTTCGGGCTTGAAGCCTTCTTTAGAAACTTTTGCTCCTAGGTGTTTGAAGCGGTCTACAGTCTCTAGTCTTTCCTCCCCGACCTTAATTTCAGTGGTGATGTCTGTGGTGTTATTTGTTCTCAGTTTTGTTTTTCGGCACTGATTAGCATGCCGTAGGACGACGAGGTCTTATCGAGACGCTTTACCAGGTCGGCTAGCTCTTCTTCGTTCCCAACCAGTCCGTCTATGTCGTCCGCAAAGCGTAGGTTGGTGATTGTTCTGCCACCAATGCTGACTGTCCCTTCATGCGCTTCCAGAGCATCTGAAATAATTCTCTCTCGGAAGATGTTGAACAGGGTGGGGGAGAGCAGGCAGCCTTGTCGGACTCCGACCGTGGTCTTGAACCATTCTGCGATGTTGTTGTTGAGGAAGACTGCACTTGTGGCCTTGTCATAGTGGTTGCATATCATTCTGGTTAGGTTAGTGTTGATGTTGTAGTGCCTCATGGTGGCCCATAAAGCAGCATGCATAACCCTGTCGAGTGGTTTCTTGAAGTCCACAAAGACGTGGTATAACAAAAAACAACACACTAACATCATCCAAGTCAGATATTTAAGATATGACATTCAATGATACTTCTTATTTTTTACGAATTTAAAGCGGACAATATTAATATTATAACGTTTTTAAAAAATCATAAACTGTATTTAACGATATATAGAAGGAAATTCAAAATAAGAATAAAGATATTAACATTAATTATGAACTTAGAAACTTTTCTTTCAAACTCAACGCATGCATTCAAAAATAAACACACATTTTTTTTAGGCGTTTTCTTGTATTGCTATATTAAAATAACTCTCCTTTCACGGAAAGATGAACACTACGGTTGTCTTAAGAGTTAGGCCTGTCCGCACCAGTTGTACATAAACGATTACAAATTGTATTCAACGAGCAGGTTTTAAATTAGCCTATCTAATCACCAGCCACAGGGGCCGTGGTCGGCATGTACAATGTAGCCATGAGTAGCCATGAGCCTTTAAGGCGATTTAGACATTTCTAACACTCTTACTTACCTACTCTAACAATTTCAATATTTTGAAATGATTGGACGTAGTAGAAGCCTATTTTTTAATCAAATGAACCCTAAATTATCATCCTAAGAATGACTGGGTATTTTATGTAAATATTTTAACACATTTAAAATGCCAATTGAATTATAGTGTACATGCGTAGCCATAGACCTTCAATAAAATACATGTATTTATTCTGTATATATTTTATAAAAGTATTAGTATAACTATAATATTTTTTCTAGGCCGACAAGTCTTACACGTCTTGTTATATTTGGAATTGGCCCTTGCAACGATTTGAGTTGCTTATTATTTGTTTAGTGTTAGTGTTTTGAATTGCCTTTTTTATTTTGTTGTTTTGTGCTTTTTAATGTTATTTAAATGTGTTCGGTTTTTTGTGTGCGTGTCACCTTTAATTAATATGAAACAAATTCATTCGTCAAAGCAAACAAACATATATAATATATATATATCACATTTTACCTTCAGAATCAGTTGATCTTATTAAATCATAAATAAGCGAAAACAATCTAATATTTTCAAAATAGATTAATGCATAAATAAAGAAAGACGTCTGTGGCAATTTCTTTTTCAGTTCTGCATGTCCCAATTTAATTTCAAAAACTGTGAAACGAGCGATAATTGTTTTTTTTTTAATCTGTTCCAGGTCAAGGTCAACTATTTGACGAGTCAGAGATTGGAGATGGGGAGACCTTCAGACTAACATGTGACGTCAGCCGGATTGGCAATGTTCCAGCAGCTGTAATAAATGTATTATATTTATCCATTGAGAGAACCGTGCCTGCAAGGAAAGAGCCTACGAACATTGCTGTCTATTCAACGGGTCTTTCAGAAAATCTCACAAAAGTAATATATTATGCATGAACTCATCGTTCAAAGTCTATGCACCATAACCTTTAGATCGTTCATTACAATTCATCCAAGTTAAGGAAGGGTTTATGTAATTTCAAGAAGCTCTCAAAACTTGAATCTCATTTTCTTCCAAGTCATTGTAAAATTATATTTGAACGTCGATCGTATATTTATTTTTCAGAAATTAGTTTCAAATAAGTTGTTTAACAATATTACGTTACTTTAAATAATCTTTGATGTATTTTTAATGTTTGATTTTTTAATTTCTTAATTTTAAAAAAAAATATTTTTTTTTGATAAACAAAATTCTCATTGCATTTGCAATTACATTTATCTGTTTATATTTGTTTATAAAGATATATTTATCTTTATTTTTTCTCAATGTCTGGCTCTTATGTTTCATTCACTGCTTCATAATTATTCCCTCTATTCTTGTTACTTAGTAGTTGAATTTATTAGATTTTTAGAAGTAAAATTCATAACAAACCTCTAAGTCGTAAAACATATTGATGATGTTTTTTTAAAAATATTTTGTTATAGAACCTAGATGTTCATGTCTTTATGATTCTGTTGTTTTATTCAGATTATTCCAGATGGTAGGCAATGGGTAATCGAAGCATCTGATGGTAGAGGCTCCGTTGATCCAGAAAACAACAGGGCATCAATCAAACTGACACTCTATGTGCCAGATGCTCAATGTGCTGACACAGGGTTATACAGCTGTCATGCCAGCTTTCGACCAGCAGGTGGAGTTTCAGTAGCAGGCCGTTCTCAGAATCTGACGTCAAAAGGTGAGGTTGTTTTCTTCATGTCAATTTTTTGCAAGAAAAAACATCCTGTTCAGAGATACAGAGTTTGAACAAGGTGTCTTCGGAATTATGTATTTCTACTAGTCCTTGTTAAAATCGCTTTTTTTTCCCAGGCATTCTGAATACCTTAAATCATATGTAGATTCTCGCATTTGATTCAGTTGTCACAATTGCCATCTGGTATGCCTAAAGTCCCTAGATGCTCAATTTTTTTTTCAGAACTGTCAGGGGTTAATAGATCATAGTTATAAAACTCTCAATTCAACTAATTTTCTTTCATTATTTTTAAAGGATTAGGTCGATAAAATTATGAAAGAAAAGTTAGTTTGAGAGAGAAATAGCTTATGACAGAGTTATAGAAAGCATTACAGGGATAGAAATATTGTAATTTTTTTTTTGAACAATCAAAATTAAGTCGACAAATTTACTCCGAATTTAGTGGTTTGGACTAAAGTTTTTCAATGCTGACCACCGATTTATGTATTGCTGAAATTGTATCCGATAGTATCATATGGACAAAATCAGAAGTAGACCACACACTGAGTAATGACAGTTCAAATTCGGAAAAAAGCCAAAGTCCGGAATGTTCTCTATTTTGAGATTTCGCCACAAGATAATTAGGCTGAACTACGCCCTATTTCACACAATGTGCAAATGCCTTTTTCATTGCCACTCTAAAGCAGCAGGTCTGGTCATTCCACTGTTTCTTTTTTTAAATCGCAATGAGAAAACTACATTTAAGTACGTGGGAGATGTGCCGCCTACTGGACAGTCTCAAGTCAGCACGTCGAATTTTGGCAGGAGGATTCCAGAAATTTAGCGCAGTGATTGGTCAAAAGTCTTGTCATTTTATGTACAAACAGGAAATGATTCACAACTCTCGGCCAAGTTTTCAATGTGTCGACAAATTAGGGAACTTGCCGAACTGTGCTTTTTGAACATAACATAATATATACATAAGCCTAATATATATATATAAACTTATGTCTGTATGTAAGTATGTAAGTATGTAAGTATGTATATATGTATGTATGTATGTATGTATGATTGTATGTATGTATGTATGTATGTATGTATGTATGTATGTATGTATGTATGTATGTATGTATGTATGTATGTATGTATGTATGTATGTAAGTATGCCCCGTATGCGCTACTACACCACTCATGCGATTGCGATAAAACTGTGGTGAGTTGTTGTCCACAAGCCAGCGCAGTTTTCTGCGTCATGACAATACTTTTGAATTATTCCGTTGGCCCTAAATTCGATTTCACCCTTGTATTAGCTATATTAATATATAATTTCAGTATGCGTTCCTATACCATTCATCCGATTTCAATAAAACTTTGGTAAATTGATATGCGCCCACCCGAAAAGGCTTCTAAATTAGTACAACGATTTTAAAACATTCCATTTCGGGCTGGCGGCCATTACCTCCTTTTTTCATATTTGAGCCACATAAATATAATTTCAAAAAGAACAAAATCATTGGTGGATTAAATTTTAATCAAATACAAAAAGCGACATTTCAATTTCTGTGTGACATAATAGGTAGGTTTCTAAATTAGTTTAACCATTTAACAATATTCTGTTTGGTGTCGGAGGCACTAATTTTTTTTTTTTATTATAGGAGTAATAAAAATATATTTTTGAATAGACCTAATTCATGAGTGGATAGAATTAAATCAAATACATACAGCGATATTTCCGTTTGTGTACGACATAATTTAGTAGGTTTCTGAATTTGTACAAACATTTTGCAAGATTCATTATGGAGCATGGGCCCTAAAATACTTTTTTATGATATGAGCTTTTTAAATATAATTTCCGTATGCGATAAAACTTTGGTGAATTGATATGCGACTGCCCGCAAAGGTTTCTAACTTAGTACAACTATTTTAAAACATTCTGTTTCGGGCCCGCTGCCCTTACTTCTTTTTTTCTTATATCATCTATATCAATATAATATCAAAAAGAGCTAAAGCATTGATGGATTAAATTTTAATAAACTACAAATAGCGACATATCAATTTGGGTGTGACATAATAAGTAGGTTTCTGTCTCAGTAGAACCATTTTAAATTATTCCCTTTTGGCCGGGGGCTCTAAATGTGTTTCTATGTATTAAATAAGCTACATAAATATAATTTGAAACACCCCTATTGTGTGGGCGGATCAATCGCTACAAGTGGACGTCATTTTGAAAATCCATGGTGCTCACATGCACAGCTGTGTGTGTGGCCTGCTCACATGGTCAGCTGTGTGTGGCCTGCTCACATGGTCAGCTGTGTGTGTGGCCTGCTCACATGGTCAGCTGTGTGTGTGGCCTGCTCACATGGTCAGCTGTGTGTGGCCTGCTCACATGGTCAGCTGTGTGTGTGGCCTGCTCACATGGTCAGCTGTGTGTGGCCTGTTCACATGGTCCTCTATGTGTGTGGCCTGCTCACATGGTCATCTGTGTGTGGCCTGCTCACATGGTCAGCTGTGTGTGTGGCCTGCTCACATGGTCAGCTGTGTGTGGCCTGCTCACATGGTCAGCTGTGTGTGTGGCCTGCTCACATGGTCAGCTGTGTGTGGCCTGCTCACATGGTCAGCTGTGTGTGGCCTGCTCACATGAACCGCTGTGTGTGGCCTGCTCACATTGTGTGGGGCCTGCTCACATGGACCGCTGTGTGTGGCCTGTTCACATGGACCGCTGTGTGTGGCCTGCTCACATGAACCGCTCTGTGTGGCCTGCTCACATGGACCGCCGCTGTGTGTGGCCTGTTCACATGGACCGCTGTGTGTGGCCTGTTCACGCTTCGAAAAACCTTCGTTGGCATGTCGGGTAGTCCGTATTATAAATATAAATATATTTTTGTGCTAACATTTGTTTGGTGAGAACTAAATTGTAATGTAAATTTATTTTATTTTTGGTAATAATCAGCATCTTTTTTCATTGAACTACATTTTGAGTAAGACTTCTATATGTATATGACACACGTGAAACTACTTATCCTAGTTTTCCAAAACTATATAAAAAAATGTGTATACACCAGCCATGTGCAAACCTTTATTTTAATGTTTGAAGTCAGTATTTATAAAAGTCAATTAAGTCCAAAATACATTTAAAATGCAGTCCTTTTGTGACAAAGATAATGAATCTCAAACGAAACATTTTAAATATTTAGAGAAAATGATGTCAATGGCGCTGTACATTAACATTTGTTTACTTGTCCAACGTAGCAAAAACAGATGTCCCAGTGCTTACATTAGACCACCACAATGGCAAAGCACCTGACTCCTCCAATAACACGGAGGGACAACCAGTCAAATTAACGTGTTCTTTCGAGGTAGCTGAAAAATGGGTATTTTAAAACGCAAATGTATTTATTTCGGTTGAAAAGCAAACTTTTAAATTGTTCTCATTCGTCATACATAATGTTGAACAAATTGTTTCTTTAACAAATGTTTAATTTTGTGCAGTAAAGTATTGTAATGTGAATTATTTAGTTAGACCAAGCGATTTCATTTATTATAAATTACTATAATAAGACACAAATAAATCAAAATACATCTCTGAAAAACTCACTTTTTATGTAGTGTTAAGAACTTTACTCTTGCTAATACATTTTTGGATATTGAATAGTAAACCATTTCATCAGTGTAAACTGACATCTAATCTAACACTGGTCCACTGCACCAATCAGCATGAAGGGAACCGTGTGACGCGTGATGTAAATTCTTCCAATGGGTTTTTGCAATAGGCTATCACCTTCTTATTGAACTCATCTTTTCTACCTGTCCATGGCTCATCTTCTCTACCTGTCCATGGCTCATCTTCTCTACCTGTCCATGGCTCATCTTCTCTACCTGTCCATGGCTCATCTTCTCTACCTGTCCATGGCTCATCTTCTCTACCTGTCCATGGCTCATCTTCTCTACCTGTCCATACCTCATCTTTTCTAACTGTCCATGGCTCATCTTTTCTACCTGTCCATGGCTCATCTTTTCTACCTGTCCATGACTCATCTTCTCTACCTGTCCATGGCTCATCTTCTCTACCTGTCTATAGCGGATCTTGTCTATCTGTCCATGGGTCATCTTCTCTACCTGGCCAGTCCGCTGAGTGTTTTTTTTCCCGTAATGGTCTCTTCCTGTGCTCATCTTGGACTAGACTCAAAAGTCTAGCCACCCTCTTGTTTACTTACTGACCCAGGTTTACTGTGCCCCCCAACACACACATAATCACTGCTATCTTGATCTACTACACACCAAGACTGACCTACCACACGCTGCTCCACAGCTTCGACTGCCTATACAGTACATCAAAATATTTACACCGCCATCACCTCTCGGTGTATAAGAATCCAGGCTGACACAAACTCTACAAGATACAAATTAACTTCCATATCGAATTTCTGCACAAATGCCAGCAAAATTCTAAACGATAGATACCCTGTCATGGGAGCTATCCAGATATCAGAACAAGGTGTGTTTACCCTCCTCAATACCATTAACCCTTACAAAGAATGTGGTCCTGACAACATCAAACCACGAGAGCTCAAAGAATTAGCCAAAGAAATCGCTCCTGCACTGACAATCCTCTTCACTGTGCACAGGAAATGTACCAGCAGACTGGAGAACAGCGCAAGTCACTCCAATCTACAAGAAAGGGGAGCATTCCGACCCTGCCAACTATCGTCCGATATCCCTCACCAGCGTGGTCTGCAAACTGTTGGAGCACATAATCGTAAGCACAGTTATGAATCATCGTGAAAGCCAAAATATACTCAATGACTGTCAACATGGCTTCCGTTTCAATAGATCATGTGAGACCCAGCTTCTTGAATTTGTAGAAGACCTGATGACCAATCTGGAGAACCACAAGCAGACTGACGTGCTGGTAATGGACATTGACCGTGTGAATCATAGTTTGCTTCTACACAAACTCCAGAGATATGGGATCCGAGGTACCACTAAAACATGGATCTCTAGCTTCCTCAGCCAACGATGCCAAGCAGTAGTGGTGGACGGTACAAGCTCCTTCTTTGTCCATGTGAAGTCAGGGGTCCACCAGGGATCAGTGCTAGGCCCCTGTTTGTTCCTAGCATACATTAATGACCTACCCGAGAAACTGACATCCCAAGCAAGACTGTTCGCAGATGACAGATCTGAACAGGACCAGCTACAACAGGATCTAAATCTGTTAGCTGAGTGGGAGATGAGCTGGGACATGGAATTTCACTCTGCCAAGTGCCAGACACTATCAGTCTCTAGAAGTTGTACTCCTCTACACTACCAATATGAACTGCACGGCCATATACTTGAGCCAGTTTCCTCCGTAAAGTACCTGGATGTTAACATTCAAAGAGAGGTCCGATGGGACGAGCATATTAACAATGTATATAACCAAGCAAACAAGACCCAAGGGTTTTTAAGGCGAAATCTGAAGATTGGCAACTCCTGTGTGAAAGAAAGAGCATATAAAGCCTTTGTCCGTCCGGTTTTAGATTATGCATCTTCAGTCTGGGACCCATTCACCCAGAAGAGCATTGACAGGTTGGAGGCGGTCCAGCGACGAGCAGCACGCTTTGTCCTAAACCATTACAGGAATACCTCTAGTGTTGGCAAATGTGGGTTTTCTGTCCACATGCTGATTAATATTTTAAGTTAAATTCGTTATTTTTACAGCTGATTATTTGGAAAAAAAATATTTGTGACATTGTGTGTTAAAAGTAAGAGAGCTGGCCAGCCATTAGCTTTATAACACGTGTTTATGTCTCATTCTCTATAAAAGCGTAATATATATTTTTATATGATAAATCAGTTAAGCAATCATCTATAAACAAATATTATTGAATCTATTCGTAAATTTAATCTTATTTTAGGGTCCTGATGGTCTTGCGATAGTCTGGTTGGTCGGTCCTATTAGAGGACCCAACTTTGTGCCCTATCCGTCAGACAATGGTGTTCAAATGGTGACACCGAGTCCCACCAATGACCCTTGTAAACGTGGAAAATATGAGTCAACTCTGACTTTCAAAGTACCTGCTGTTGACACGATGTACATTTGTGTTGCGAGGGAAGCCGATGGTGAAACCGGCCGAAAGACGTTCCAAATTGTTGTCAAACCAAGAAGTAGGTCAAACATATTACCATTTTGTTAATAAGATGGGTTTTTTTTTAAAGTTTAGTTTTAGTTTATAATTTTTTACTTTATCTACTTTTTGTAAAAAATGAATACGTGAACATCTTCTAAAACCGTTTTAATGTTCGTTCCTACGTCGAAGATCCCTTCTGACCATTTCAAACCTCGGATTGATGCTTGGGCTGATACTTGGAGTGGGTGCGCAGAAGGCTGATCACGTTCTTGTGCAGAACGTGCAGGGAATGGATGTGACGTATCCAGGTGCAGATTCAACTTGGGCTTCTAATGATTTCCTTTTGTGTGCTCTGCAGTTCTGTTGGGCCCGTGTGCATGGAACCTTGCTGTGATGAGTAGCGGCCGTCTGATATCCTCGCAAAATGTCCCGCACAGCGAAGCTTGGACTGAGTTAATAATGTGTATACGCTGGAGATTCTTGAATTTTCGCAGAGCTCTGTGTGGAACTTGTCCTATCACTTGATGTTGAGGATTTTTTGTAGGCTCGTTGTATGAATGTGGTTTAGTTCACTAGCATAGCGTGGATAGCGTTTCAAATGCATATAGTAGCGTCGGGAGACAGCTGCCTTGTAATCTTTTATTTTCGTTTGGGTCTTGGTGCCTTTTCTTATTCATACATTGTTGTACACTTTTCCAAATTTTGTTCTGGTTCTACAGTTTGTAAGATCATTCGATGGCTTCGTGTTGGGACAGTATTTTCTCTTTGGCCAAAATAATAGATGTTGTGTACCATGGTAAGCTTTTCACCATTAATTTGGATCTTGTAAGCTTTTCACCATTAATTTGGATCTTGTAAGCCTTTCACCATTAATTTGGATCTTATAAACTTTTCACCATTAATTTGGATCTTGTAAGCTTTTCACCATTGATTTGGATCTTGTAAGCTTTTCACCATTAATTTGGATCTTGTAAGCTTTTCACCATTGTTTTGGATCTTGTAAGCTTTTCACCATTGATTTGGATCTTGTAAGCTTTTCACCATTGATTTGGATCTTGTAAGCTTTTCACCAATGATTTGGATCTTGTAAGCTTTTCACCATTAATGTGGATCTTGTAAGCTTTTCACCATTAATTTGGATCTTGTAAGCTTTTCATCATTTATTTGGAACTTGTCAGCTTTTCACCATTAATTTGGATCTTGTAAGCTTTTCACCATTAATTTGGATCTTGTAAGCTTTTCACCAATCATGAGGATCTTGTAAACCTTTCACCATTTATTTGGATCTTTGGCTCGATGTAAAGATATCGAGGAGCTGCTTGGTGCAGTAACATATTTTTTTTTATAACCGAAGTTTGTGCATGCACTCCAGAAGTTTGCAGCACTGCATTGCACATCGACTACTGATTCAGCATTTAGGTCAAGGCAGTCGGCACACAGAAATTCCCTAAGGATGTCTGTCCGGACATTGGATTTAGCGCGTAGGCAGCCTCCTGGCGTTGAATATTTTGCGATCACTTCTTAAGGTATGTGGATTCCAATGTCTCCCTCTCTGAAAGCATCAGACAGCCATGCTGAGAATATGTTCCTGAAAAGTGTTGGTGCCAGGACTCATCACCGTTTGACGCCATGGGGCACAGGGAATGCTTGAATATTTACATTATGTAAAAATTCTTTTTCCTTTCTCCGCCACAGTAACAATGGAAAAGTTGATCCTTGAAATTTTCAATATTTACGATCAAAGCATAGTGAAAATAATGTAGCTTATTTCAGACACAAACTTTGATACGCTTAGCATTTTCGAAATATTTAGAAATTTCGCACCTACGTCCAAGAATAGAAGTGTTACTCCATAATTAGCATTATGTACAAATTACATTACACCATTTTATATGAGATAATTATTTTACAAATTACCAATTACCTCTATATTTCTTATATTATTTTCAAGTTAAGGTATGCTAATTTATTTTGTATGATAACCTCACAATAGAAACAAAACAAGGTGACAAAGACCATAACGAAAGATCCATAATGGTATTTATATTACGCCATACTTGAACTTTGCACCCTAATTTTGCAATAACTTTAAAAGTTGTGAAAAGGGGTTAACTTTATGAAAAAGTTTATTAACTTTAGAGATTTGTGTCAAACAGCCCACTACTTTAATTTATGCTTTTTGGCTCTGAGGCTTTTGTATGGTGGGTGAGTGGGGTCTTTTTTCTTGTGGGGGGGGGATTGTTTGGTTGGGGATGGGGGCTTTAGTTTGGGTGGGGAGTGGCTTTTGTCTACCGACTTAGAATCGGACCCGTATGATAGCAACATTTCTTAACATTGACATGTTACTGCCTTCGTAGAAATCGCCGTATTACTGGGTCTTCATGTCATCCTAATAATATATCATCTTGGGAGACCTGTATATGGGTTTCTGTAGCAGTAGAAGAGATAGGGTTGTCTAGGACAAATATATTTTCAGTCAGTATGTATCTGTGTAATACTAAAAGTTATAAATCTTTTATTTTCTAGGTAACAGAGGCACGCTTTTGGGCATCAGGGACCCACACTGGTTTGTAAGGAACATGTTCCTAGTGGTGATAGCAATGATGATGTGGTCTAGATTAGTCTAGTGTCAATTGAACAAAGAAAATGGACTTGGCCAGCTCGTGGAAGATGTACATCAAGAATTTTTAAATGTAAACAAGCAGCCATTTCGCATCAAACTTGATCTAAAATAATTGATTAACCAGCACGTTCAATCTTAAATGAAATAAAGTAGTTCACGACCTAGATAGTGTATATTTCAGCAATAAATTTATTACTTCCACTACACTTTATATTGTCTTTTTTATCTTAGTGAATGTCATTCAGATTTAATTGCCCTTATTTTACGACTAAAAATAAACCTTATCAAAACACAAATGTCTTTCGTCCTTCGCATGCCCACTAGACCCAGGCTATATTCATCGGTGAACATTCGAGTAACTTGCCAATCCTATTTGTGTCTGGAAAGCCTTCCGCACGTATGACACGCTTTGTTTTGGGACCTTGTTGGAATAGAGACGATTTAGCTTGTCATTGCCGTGCGCTTTCTTTTGACGTGAGACGTGCGCTTATTTCTTGAGTGCTGTGTTCCAACAGCGAGTCTGCCTCACAAGCTTCTCGACCCAATTTAAAAAAAAAAAAAAACTTATTAATAAATACGTATTTAAAATATTCTAGTTCAACTTATGGGTCGCTTTAAATTGATGTTCCATAGTCTAAGTGAGATTACGACAGCCATCAATGTGCCTTCAACTAACAAATCATGACCGAAAACAAACGAGTTTTAACCAGCTCAAGCTTACATCCAGCTCCTGAAATGATATATTACGATGTACAGTTCTTGAAATAAGAACCTACTATGCACAGTTCCTGAAATAAAACACGCCGATATGCAGTTCCTGAAATAAGACCCTACAATATGCAACTCCTGAAATAAGACTCTACGATATGCAGCTACTGATATAAGATTCTATAATATTCAGCTTTTAAAATAAGACTCTGTTTAACGGGGAATGGGAAAGATTAAAATATTTAAAGCGGATAAAGGGAGACAGTTTCAGTATAGAACGAGGTAAAAGAGTAAAGTTTAGGATGATAGGGTTGGTGGTTAATGGTATAGGGGGCTAAGTGAATAAAGTTTAGAATAATAGAATGGAACAATTTAAAGATGGTAAGTAAGTCAGTTTTAGTGGGAATAGGAGTAGGGCAGTTTAAGGGTGCATCACAGAACTATAAGAATCCCTATTAGTTACCCCCCCCCCCCACATTTTTTTTATACTGCTGATTTATAGCACCATATTTCAATTGAGACCATTTCCGTAATATGAAAGAAAATAGTACACACCAAACACACTTGTAATATTTTTTAGAATCTCATTTAGTACAATTGTATTTAATGAAATGGCGATCATTTTGACTCACTTGTCATGGAGTGTTGCATTGTCATGGCCCGGGGGAGGGGAGTTTGTAAACAGGCCTGAGGTTAGACAGTTGCGACCGGTACGTTGTTCTGGGTTCAATGCAGAGGGCCGTTGATGTGAATTTCTTTTTTCTTCCAAAACAATTTATTTTAGGTTTTTTTGTTTTTTTTTTGTTTTTTTTTGCAATATTGAATCTATCGGTTCATACTCCAGTCTAGTCTATACTTTGTATAGTAAAATCACCATGAAACCTTGTTATGAAATGTCATACGGGCTGTCTTAAAGTTTTTCTCTAAGATTTGGATGGCTAGGTTTTTCCCGAAAGCAGTCTAACATTTCGAAGTTTAAATGGCTTTTCGGAAATGAAAGTAAAAAAACAACCATTAGTTTGCTTGTCTTGTCAATCACTTCGGAAGAAGATCTGTTGCAGCAGTAGCCCAACATCTAAGTCTGTCCTTGCTTGCATCAACACTCAGAAAACTAAAAAGGGGCAAAAATGATGTATTCGCATCCCAGAAACAATGGAGTTTGTATAGTCAGAGGCAGCCCTATGTGGAGTGGTGAAAACGTTGAAAGACTTCTGTCATCTAGAAAATGCATTGGAAGTCTATTGAAAGCCCCTTTTGGAATATAATCTGTCAAGGCGTACAACATTATGATACAAATAATTTATGTTTTACTATGCCTTGGTGAACGGGGTGGGCGTAGGGATGGGAGGGGGGCCGGGGGCCGTTTCCAGGGTATTTCGACAATGTGAATTTCCTGGGAGTCAAAATTTTGTCACAAAGTCATAAAACAAGAAATGACATAGCAATAATGACTGTAGAAACATTGAAAGTACCAGATATTCCAATGCCAGATTGTCGTGCTCAGACATATTTACAA